TAGGTATGCTCTGTGGATAAATAAAAGGATAAAGCATTTGCCGTTGATCAATCCCTTTTTGGGATGCGGCACGCATTCTACTTCCATTTGTACATTCGTAGTGGCGTTTGAATGCGATGTGGCCTATACAATGACTTGCGGGGGCCAGCCGATGTACAAGTCAGTGTTTTTATCCTCCCAGACAAGTCTGGTACCAATTAACCGACCCCGGAGGGATGGAAGGCTTGGTTGGCCCGGGCGACTCACGACCCAGGATTTGATCCCCGGACCGCTCGCGTGGTAAGCGTGCCACTTGCCACTACACCACTTCCGCCCCTTTATCCTTGTTTATGCTCGTAGCCAGAATATTTCCAGCGCAAGCGCCGCGCGGTGACACCCGTGAGGCTACTGTTCCTAGTTGTGACGTAAATTTGGGGTTCCCGACAGGAGGCCTGTAGCGCGGCAAGAAGGCAGAGACAGCGGACGAGTAGCAGCGCGGTACTGTAGTCATTTCGCGTCAAGTTAAAAATGTTTAAAAAAAGTCAAATTAGAATAATTATTGTACGACCTACATCGCACACCACACGCTGCTACTCGTCCGTTGGCTCTGTCTTGTTGCCGCGCGACGGACCTCTTGTCGGGTACCCCGTAAATTTGAACTACAACTAGACACGATGTTGCCCGGTGACCTTTTGCTCCAGACCGCCAGGGCTCGCAACGCCGAGGTTGACTGTGATTGGTATAAAGTTTCTTGAGAAAAACCAGCTCCTGACATCCTACTTATAGAGCTTTTCTCCAGGTCTCGTACAAGTTGGTCCCAAAACAAATTTCCCAAAACATTACCTGCAAATGTCATAACGATCGAACATGCTAAGTGTATGGTTGTTCAAGCCTCTCCTAGCCATCGTAAGAGCACATCCACGCATGAACAGCCGTTTACCGGTTGGTTGACCTAGAGTGGGAACAGTTCCGGTATGTCACGTCAGATTTTACCAGATGATATCACATCGGCTCTACTAACCCATCACATAGAGGTCCTGCTGTACAGTTAGGCATATCGTCCGACATGACACCAAATGCATCGACTCGGGATTCATCGGCTCATCGCACTGATAGGAAAAATTCTTGGGCGGGGTGAAATACCTGAAACATGCCGCGACAACTCGTACACGTTAAGAAAACTCGTCCAGTTGACATGTACATAAAACGACAAGGGTTTTGTCTCACCTGTCCAAGCCATTTTTAAAGAATTCCTCGTACATCGGTGACATACAGCTGTAGCAGCGATTTTGCCGGTACATGCCTAAAGAATCAATCGATATGCATCAAAACAAGAAATTCCTGGCAGTGTTGCTTACCTGCTTCAACAGTTGCTAATAGAAAATATAGACATATGGACAACATCTGCTAGCATATCATATCACATTGGTCATAATTATGCGTTACGCATTTGCTGAAACAGGTACGGTGTCAAAATGATTATTGATAAAATCGATAATCGATTAGGACAGTTTCACGAAAATGTTCGCAACTACTCGAAATGTGACAAATACGTGACAATCGAACTCGGAAGAAAATTCTAGGAGATGAAGCAATATTCTGTAATCAGCAAAAATGTGCAAGTTCTGGAAAGTTCGCATAAAAATCGATTATCGATTACAAATAACATCACGGAAACAGGCGGAAATTCCCAAGCACCGAAGCCCAGAGTCCGCAGTTGCTCTCACCATGAGATTAAATTACAAATAAGAAAAGACTGAG